GACTTATGTACAATGCCGAAGATTATCCGTACGTAATGTTTATTCAATTATTTAAAGAAGATGGTACCGAGAAACTTTGTACAGGTACATAGTAAAAAAATGTTTGGTTTTGACAGCTGGTCCCTGTTGTTATGATTACAAATTAACTAGTACAAAAGTAAGTATGACTTCATTGAATTTCAATTGTGTTTAGTTAACTTCATAATTTATGATCCACTAAAACATTTTAAATTCTTAAGCAACTAATTTATAAATGTGAAAATAGGTATGTCAAGGATCACCATGGAAGGTTGAAGAACCTCTCAAACTTGACTGGCATAATGTTGTCCAAAAGTACGTACCCGAAAAGTATGATCCAAAAGATGACATATTGACATGTGTGTGTTAAAAGTATGCACCTATTACCTATAAATGTTTGTTAAACTAAGAATATTCCTGTTTATCTATTTTAATTTAAATGATACCAATTTTGTTACTTTTGAAAGAAGAGCTAAATATTGCAAACTGTTCAATTAAGTTCATTAGAACACTCAACCAAATCAAAAATCCCACCAATCGAAAAAATTATAGTTACACCTATCCTCAAACTCCTAATTTGTAGTAATATATTTGTAGAAATAAATAATTGCCTTATAAATATTTTCAGATTTTAATTGTTGTTAGTGAAATAAAATTTAATTTTAATTTATCACAATTTTTTTTTTTTATATATTATAATCTACTACGATACACTATATTGTTTTTAGTCTATTATAAAGTATCTTAACCTAACCTAAGTACTTCATACATATTTGTAGATTTCAGTATTAATATATAGGTATAATAATTATGGTGACCAGACGTACTTATTTTTGAAGACATGTCCTATTGTCCTAAATAAATTTCTGAAGTACACCAAAAAGTACTTATTTTAAATGATGTACCGAATAATTCCAAATGGAAATTTAAAAAAAACCTAACTATTAAATTCATAACATATTTAACATTTTTAGTTAATCTAAAAAATATTAAAAATATTGATATTTGTTCCTTTTATAAGTTAATTGTTTTTAAATATATTAAATTTTATTTCACATTTAGTAGGGTTAAAATGTAATAATATGTCAAAAATACTAGTCTTTGAATTTTTTTTATGACGAAATTTGTTATGAAGTGTTTAATAATTTGAAAACAGATCAACATTTTAATGTTCTTAAAGAAATTCATAGATCTCAAAAATATTTAAAATATTAATATTTATTCCGTTTATAAGTTAATTGTTATTAAATATATCAAATTGTATTTCTTATTAAATAGGTAAGTTAAATGTGTGTGTTAAAAGACGATAATATGTAAAAAAGTTTTTAAATATTTCCTTTATTAAAAGTTTATTATTTATTAAATTGTTTTATTATGAAAGTCACACGATTTAAGTCAAAGAATAAATAGGTTAATTTTTTAGTTTGTGTCAGTTATGTTTCAAAATGAATAAAGTTTGTTTAATTTGTATTATATTTTATATCTATACATAATATAATAATATGTTAAATTGTAAAACCTATGGGCTTTATACTTCTTTTTTTTTTTAAATATCTGTTTACCATAATTAAAATTCATAGTTATACTTAAATTTTAATTTATCCAGAATTATCATTCCCGAATATCACGACATTTTCGAAAATTGGTGACTTTTTGAGGATTTTGCAAATGGCAATAAGTTTGACGCTAGACGCCCTTAGTAGGTTTGAGTTAAGCAAACACGATCCAACAGAGAAGATGAACGACGGACAGCTACACCAAGTGCAAATTTATCAAGGAAAAGTGAAGAAGACGATACAACTTAAGTATGATCACTGCTCCGCTATAAGACGGTTGAGTAGATAAGAGATGTGGTGGATTCAGCTTGAAAAATTTATAATATAAGATAAAACTAGGTACCTAATGCCCGAACACTTTTCAATAACGATAGAGTACGATAACAATACTATTCATGAGACGCACGGACGATATTCAGCGATAAGACACGACTAACGACGCATGTCTGACATAAAATTCGAAATTTTACTGTACCTAAATATTATGTACGACTAGTAACGAAACTTTGCTGACCAACACAGAATAGTTGTATATCTGGAACATGTAACCCCATTTCCGTACCCCTATCAATATAAGAGCCTCGTCGGTTGTCGGATTACTATTCACGGTTGAGAAATGTCAATCAACATCCGGATATCTTTGAGGTTGTTTAGGAAGTTTCCAGGCTCTTAGAACATCCATACAAAATTCAGAGGTCACGGGCTAATTTAGATCCGTCTAGTTGCGGATATATATTTTTAAATCTAGTTTCTAAATCGGGACTTGAAAATGTAATGAAAACGTTATACGCGTGGAACTAAAAGGTTAAAATTTTCGTTACCATTATTTAAACGGAAAAAGAAAACGGTATGTGATTGATTTAGGTACCTATTAAATGAATAGTTAAACGTTAAAAGAAAAATTAGAAACATCATTAAGCTACTAAAAACATATTCAGCTGTTTAATGTAATATCAAAGTATGAAACTATAAAAAATTATATCAACACAATGTGTTATAATATATATTATCATTGAGTATAATAATAGTATAATAATATACCTATTGTATTTTGTATACGATATGGTTTTATTAAAATATTATATTGTATTTAATATTATTGTTTCCGGAAAATCCGATATTGTTCAACGAGTAACATCAAGCGCTCTCTATCAGCTTAATATTTTAAGTCTACTTAAACCTAGTAGTTTGGTGTTTCAGCGCTAGATGGCTCAGATGTTATTATTTAAGAGTTAGGATTTTTTTTGTAATGAAAATAATAATATGTATTTTGTTCTTTACCTTCCAACATAATAATCTAATATATAAGAATTCTCGTGTCACAATATTAGTTACCATACACGTCCGAAACGACATGACAGATTTTTATACAATTTTATATACATATTCAGTAGGTCTGAGAATCGGCTCATATTATCTATTTTTCATACCTCTAAGTGATAAGGGTTGTCCAGAAAAAAAAATAATAATAGTATATTATATTATATTGGTTACTATTGGTGAATCGGGTATGTTTTTTGATTTGTATTATTATTATTAGTCAATATTTATATATATATATATAAATGGAGAGTGAAAAGTGTCGTTACCTCATCAATCGAGAACGGCTATTCAGATTTGGTTCAAATTTTTTTTAAGATGTTCGTAATTTCCAGGAGAGAGTTTTAAAAAAGAAAATTTCAGGAAAATTCACCGGGAAAGAAGGAAATCTGGATGTAAAAAATACAACAGTGGCGCAACACTGTATTATAATTTAAATTTGTTGCAATTGGTTAATCGGACATGTTTGTTGATTTGTATTATTATTTTTTGTCAATATATAAAAACAGTCGTTCCGGATTAATGAGGTAACATACATTTTTCACTCTCCATTTATATATATATATAAATATATATAGATTAATTTTTCTGTGTAGATTAGACCTCTTTGAAAAAGATAGATTAAGGGTTAAATTTGGTTTCTATTTATTCATCAGACTTTAGTACGGTTAGGTTAGGTTAGGATTTTGAATTAATTGATTATATTAATCCACCGTAGGTGGAATTAAATAAAAACGACAAACTTGGTATAATTTTGATACTTTAGAGTTAAATCATTCACTTACGTACAAACAGCAAAGGGGCCGCGATCTACCACAGGTAGATCGCCTACCCGATAATATACTGCTGCGATTCAAAATATTTTGTCCACGCAACAGAAAGGTTAAGATAAATCTAGAACATCGTACACTGAATATTAAATAACGCATTGTACAAAGTTTGAGTCATATGCACTTTGTACATTTAACGGGTAACGAAGTGCACGGGATCAGCTAGTTTTATTTATGTTATGCCAAATTACTTTCATTGTGCACAAATTTAAATTTTATATACAATAATTAACTGTATTGTTCATAAATAGTTTTAATAACTTTCTTCCATTACTCCCACATAGGGGTGAACAACTTTCATAAGACTTACCGCCATAATAGTTTCATCAACTGACTTAATACGTTTGTATTATGTAAATTATATATTTTACAATATATTTAGTTACTTATTAAATTTTTTTATTTTAATAGCTATTACTAATAGCCTATTAGTATAAAACTTTTATAGCAGAAGTATGACTTATATATAACTTTGTATAAATTACGCAAGAATGCAGGATGTACCTAAGTTTGATTGATTTGATTGAATTTAAAAATCTCTTGAAATGTGGTAAATAATTTTTTATCAAATATCTTAAACAATAAAAAGGACTGATGGAAATCTTGTCTTGTCTTGGGGAGGGGGTTAAAGTATATTAATTATGATACAAGTTATTAGTTACTAAACGTTATTTTTATTTTATTTGGAATTGGTGTCAGTAATTTATCAGTAAATTAAACGATATTGTTCATAAATTATGATACTTAGATTAAATTATTATGGTATAAATCTGTGTATACCTACGCATTGAATTACGCAATTGCAAGTGACACAAACCGTGTTAATTATATTTTATTTATATAATACTTTTTTTAGTTTATTGAATATGAACATTAAAATTCAAGAAAAATATCAATTAAACAATTTAGCATTTTTGTTATTTTTGTTATTTTATTAGATAATAATATATATAATGTATTTAGACTAAAGATAAATTATTTGAATAAAATAAAATAAACCTAAATAACTAATATACAATCGTATTTTTTGATTATAAAATATTATTTTATTTTTATAATAACCACAAAAAAACAAATACATTATATTTAAGTATGTTAAATAAATTATATTTACAAAAATAATGATTTTTTTTATGCTCAAGGGCCTAGAGTCTAAATATATAATATAATAATATCTACATAGGTAATATATATTCATATTGCATTTAGATATCATTACAACTTGTATGAGCACTTCCCAGTGCCACTTTTATGAATACTCAGTGACAGTGTTAATTTATGTCGATTCACTCTGATTCATCGAACCTCTAAACTTATTCCGTAAGTCTAAAATAACTTTGCGCTTGGCCACAAATATGATAAATATCAATACTCCATGTAGTCTGTTAATTATACGAAAAAAGTCAAATATGATCCAATGAATTCGGAATATAATCTGTAAGGTCCTTAATAAGTATGGGATTCCCATAAGCAGAAATAGTTTGATGCTCATTTCCAATCTGTCAAAAATAAAAAAATAAAAGTGTGTTAAGTCCAATTAAAAGCTTTAAATATTTTTGAATTTTTTTTTTAAGACTTATATTAACTAGTAGAAAAGACGGAAACTGCTAACTTTAAATGTATCAAAATTTTAGATTAATCAGTAATAACGAATCATATTTTCTATATACCTAATATTTTGTACTATAGATTTTTCTTTTTGTTCATATTTTAAGACGCCTATTACTTATATATTTTGACTTAACTCACAATGATTAATGTTTACCGCATAGCAAATTAATTTAAGTGCCCCTACATTAAGTTTTTAAATGACACAGTTGGGCGCATACTGTTGGGCATATACAAATTATAAAGCTTACTAGCTTATTATATATGAGTATTAGATACTACAATAAAATATATATGTACCTTATTAAGAAATTAATAAATACTTAAAGTACGCCAAGATTTTACCTATATTTATTGTGAAGGCGTTTTAAAAATGAATAATATAATATGTAAACATATTATGTAAGTACCAAAAGTAGTTAACAGACTATATTAGGTATGTGCCCTACGTGAATGGATATTACTCTATTGTATTCTTACTTCTCTGATTTGTAAACAAAAAAAATTTCTATTTTTGGACTATCAGTTTGTTGGAATTCATTTAGTTCAGATTTAATTCTTGAAGAATGAATAGTAATTAGAAAGAACAAAATTAAATTGACGGTCAGCATAACACAGGAGGGTATCAGGTAGAAAATTAATATTCCGTTGCCATTGTATTCTGGAAAAATATTAAATATAAATTAATAATTATAGATAAGTAGTAATTATAGATTAATAAATATACAAATATAATATAAAAAACCAGTGGCGCCAATGTTCATTCAAAGTTATATCTTAACATTTTAAACTTTATACAAACACCTTACACCTATACCGTCGATTATTAGTTTTTTCCCCTTTATGAATCCAACAGAAACTTTTTTCACTACCATTATATAAGAAAATAATGTAAACGTTACTAGTTGCAAATAGAATATAAAAAAAAAAAATGAGAGTGCGTGAGCCCACCATTACACTCTTCGGAAGTAAAACTTCTTTCATAAGTAATTGGGCCCGTGAAATTATATACGATTTTGAAGTAAAATTTCTTTCTTGAGGTGTGGGTGAAAAAAAATCGTAACGGAAAATAAAACAACCTGTTTCTTTATTTATTTATATATGTCCTTATAGCAGCCATTAATAAACCAAAATGTCTATCTTAAATTATATATCTTTTTGTATGATTTTTCTCACTCTCTCCCTAATTTACTTATAATTTCACGGGCCCAATTACTTATGAAAGAAGTTTTACTTCCCCGGAGTGTAATGGTAGGCTCACATACTCCCTCACTTTTGTATATTAGATACCTATACATATATAATTTATATGCTGTCGCACATTGTCCACGATTTGACGTAGTCAGAATAACCAGAAATGGTTGCTGAATTGCAATTACTACTGCAACTTACATCCAAAAAGATCTGAAGATATTATACTGAATCAAAATGAAATGATATTGTGTCAAACTTTCACAATATACACGTTTTTAAGGTAGAAGTTTTTTTTGGTTTCAATGAAATATACAGTATTCCGTTTATTATAAATGATTACATTATATTGTCGTGATAAAATATTAACATGTACACCGAGCTATAATTTACAATATCTAAATCTGAGAAAATAAAAATATCAAAATGTATTTATTTAAAAATAATTGTGTGAACTTACCAAAAAACCAGCAACTACGGTAACCAATATCGGGTGCTAATTTCAGTAGCGTTTTGTGTTGTGAATGTTGAAATAAATAACCAGTACATACCCAAACAATTGAAAATCCCCAACAGTAAATATGGCACATAACTGTACTTACTGATATTGATGTATTTCTGTTTATTGAATTGTTGTACCTAAATTAAAAATGTGTTGAAAATATTATATGATGTTGTTAGGTATACTTGTATGATTTGTTATATTTTGAAATTTTAGATTTTAGAAGCAGCACTGTATATTATTAGGATATGGTATTACTGGACACTGGTATAATACATTAGGTAATACTATATAAC